TGGGGTGAAAAGTCTCCACCCTGGGTTAGAGCCGCAAAAATCATTGAACTTCCCCCCCACATATTATATATCATCTGAAAGCTCTTGATGAGGAGAATCCAACCTATGAAGTCGCAACATGATTCATGCAATTCTGAAGAAGTTATGCGCTGTTGAAATTCAAAAAGCGGTTTTTCACTTGTTTTTTCAAGAGCCTGAATCTCGGCGGATCTTATTGGATCGTACAATCCGATACAGCAATCCTTACTCTACAAAACCTATGAAGTCGCAACATTGCACTCCTTCACATTCCAGATTTATAGGAGTCTAAACGTCAGCTGTCACTAAGTAACCTAAAATCGCTTAATTTTTTAATATTCTCGTTCTCGGCGGCCACTGCTCAGATCGACGTAATTCTTTCACTATCTGGTAAAACAAAACTTGCCCTTCAAAACCTATGAAGTCGCAATTGCTGACATCTTCAACCAGCAGATTTATAACAATGGAATCATCGCATGATTTTTCATTATTTTATCATTCGAAATTCTGGTTCTCGGCGGTTGTTCCCTGGATCGACTTACTGCATAGATATATGCTCTCAATACTTTCTTTTACCTTCCTTTTGCTTATTTTCCTTCTTTTAAGCTTCAGCAAAAAAAATTTTTCAAACCCAAAAGTGAAGGTGGTCACCCATACCAGCTCAAAAGTGAAGGTAGGCGGAGACTCGGCTCCAACTATCGCACCTCTGTTCATGACTTTTGCGTCTTTCTGTGGCTTTTTTCGGTCTTTTAGGCATGCTCAAAATTGCAAAACTGAGAATTCTCTTTAATTGCATATAACTCTCGATCTTTTTCGTTTTAATTCGGGGAAAGGTACCACAATAATGCGCAAAATTTCCTCTATTAAATAAAAAGACTTCCACATTTTTTCGTGACCCAGCTCGAAAAGTGTCAATTTCGACTGATTTCCTTCAACTGTATCTGACTCACAAAGTTGCACAAATTAGTTCATGACAGTGGCACAGCTGTAAAGAGCATGCTTCTTCCTCTTTCAAGCAAAAATGAATTCAGAGAATTCCATCGTATGGCAAGAAAATTATAATTTTTTGAAAATGATGCGTAAGAACTTTCGGATCAATCTAATATTAGGTCGCTCCGAAAGTTAGCCAAACCACTTATAACGAAGATAGACAAACGCTGTAAGCACTATCCGATGCAGAATTTCTTCCTCTTTCCAACGGCTATGTCCTCATTGTGATTATTTCGATGAGTGCTAGAGATAATCGCCGAAAACTAGAACATTTTGAGTTTTTGAAGGCGCTCTAATAACCACCTGATAGGGCAAACATTTTGCAAATCAACGCAACTTCTTGCATCTCTCTGGCATGCTTTCTAGAATTACTAAAATTTGTTTTTTGAAATGACCAAACTTTATATCTGGCTCATTCTAACTTCGCAAAACATCAGACGTTGAACAGTTCAAGTACCATTCGATGCATCTTTTTCTCTTCTTTCTGACAGCTACCTTTTCTTCGCGAAACGTTGGACTACTTTTGCAAACAAAATCGCTGTACTTCCCAATTTTACGGGTGCGCAAGGTTGTAGTCGAAAAATCTACGCATTCTCACGCCGTAATCGCTCATTTATTTCGTAATGCTAGTGATAATAAAAATCGAGTTCCAGAACTTCAATATTTTGGGAATTTCGCAGTGTATGGTGCAATTACGTGTGTCGCGATTTTTTCAAAATTCAATGCTCTCGTGAAATAATTCAGCAAAATTTTGAAGAGGAGGCTGAAATAGCTCAAAAAATGCATTTATTTGCAAAAGAGGTGGTTATTAGAGCACCTTTTATAAACTCAAAATGAAAATTCTAAAAATTAGCGATAAGACATGGCAAAGTAATGGGTTCTAGTTTCCGGCGTAAGGAAAACATAGCAGCTGGAAAGAGGAAGAAATTCTGCATTGGATAGTGCTTACAGCATTTATCTTCTTCATTCTGAGCTGTTTAAGCATGGGTCCGAAAAACACCGCGAACTTTCGGAGCGACCTAACATACAGGGTGTCCCAAAAACATGTGAACACTGTTTGCTTGTTAATAACTCCGTTGCTTTCATGTCTTTCGCCGAGCTTGAGGCCCCACTCTGTAGAGCGAGGTTTAACTTAAATTTATAGTATGGAGCGAATCTGATAAATGCTGGAAATTCAGTTATTACGGTTTACCTGGGATAACCTTGGAAAGACGCATCACAGTAACTTGAAAGTTTCATATTCGAAATCAGCGGCTTTCATTTAGTTTTTGGCTTGTTTGGTTTTGTTCCGAGGCAGAGTATCGCCTCCAATGACCTAAAATCTTCGTCGAGGTTCCTACCGTAATCCTACAGTAATGAAGAGTGACCGGTGATTCGCTCCATACTATAAATCTAAGTTGAACCTCGCTCTACAAAATATTACCTAAAGATTCTCGAAACACTTCATTGCAAGAGTGTTAGTTACAGTCAAACAGTAAGTAAATTTTTTGGGGACACTCTGTATAAGAAAACTTAGAATGATGGCTGTTCTGCATTTTTCGCACAGTTTCAAGATTTTTAGAAGGTTTGCTTGAAAATTACGAATTCTGGATAATTTAGTTACTCCATTTTTATCTTAGAAACTGAGCATGTGAAAAGTCCCAGAGGACTCTTGGAAACTACATGCTTTACGCTTTCTGAAAAAGATTAAGTTAAGCAAAACCCTCGTGACAGGAAGAAATTATGGTTTTTTGACATGGTGCGAACGAACTTTCGGTTCAAGAATACATACAGGGTGCCCAAAAAAATGTGAACACTGTTTGATCGCTAATAACTCCCTTAATTTCATGCCTTTCGCCAAGATTGAGGCTCCATTCTATACAGCGTGGTTCAACTTAGTTTTATAGTATGGAGCAAATCACCGGTCACTCTTCATTACTGTAGGATTACGGTAGGAACCTCGACAAAGATTTTAGGCCATTGGAGGCCATATTCTGCCTCGAAACAAAACCAAGCAAGCCAAAAACTCTTATACTATGGTAATGAGAGCCGGTGATTTCGAATATGAAATTCTCACTTTACTGTGATGCTTCTTTCCAAGGTTATCCCAGGTGAACCGTAATCACTGAATTTCCAGCTAACAGAAATGTGATTACGCCGCCAAGAAAGCTATAAACACTCGTAAGAAGTTGTTAGGTGGAATCAGCATGCGCAAAAACCCTAGTACACGATTTTCAGATTTTTTTTCAAAAAATTTTGTTGAATGGCATATTTCACAATGGATCCACATGCTAGAAGTTCATACCGAGATCCTACAGTAACGAAGAGCTACCGGTGATTCGCTCCTTGCTATAAATCTAAGTTGAACCTAGCTCTACAGAATGGGGCCTCAAGCTCGGCGAAGGAATGAAAGCAACGGAGTTATTGAGCAAACAGTGTTTACATTTTTTTTTTGGGAACCCTGTATCTTATTACTAACTAAGTCAAGTTTGGGTGGATCGTGCTCTTCTTTCAAAAGTTATGATTTGAAAAAATGCCGAAAAATCGATTTCTTAAGAATTCACAGGAAATTGAATTTTCGGCATTTTTTCAGAAAATCATAACTTCTGAAAGAGTTCGATCAGCACAAACATGACTCAGTTAGTAATAAAATAACTGAAGCTTGAACTGTAATATTTTAAAACTATCCCGAATCTTTCATAAAGATTTGTACTTCTTTTCTTGCGCCCTTCAAGCCAACACCCAGTCTTTCAACCAACAAGATGATTTTTGAAGTGAACCAAAAACACACTGGCCCGTAGTAAACCCCCTCTCAGCCCAACTCGGCTGGGGGCGGGCCTACGTTGAACGTAGAGCGCCTCAGTCCGGCATCCGGTGAGCCATCGATCCGGATTCGGATCGCTTTTCAGACCCAAAGATCTTGTGCGTTCTCAAAAAATGAACTCCTTGAGTGGTGTGGTCGAGAGGCTAAGTGCATGGATTTCAATGAGAAAGTCCATGGTTCAAAGCCGGATAGTGGCACATTTTTGCGCCACCGCAGGACAATCTTTGATAGCGGCCGCTATCGAGAAAAATCGATGGCGAACGCTGTCAAAGATATCGCCGAGCAAACAATGGATAATACAAAACCACCACATTTTGGCGAGGAATTCATGGAACTAAAATTTTTGAACATAGAGCAAATCAAAGAAATCAAGAAATCCTTGTTTCAAGCAGTTTTCAAAGGAAAAACGTAGTCAAGCTCTGAAAAAAAGAAGAAATTCAGGAAATCCTGTTTTCTCGTTTTTTCGCCGCAATCAGCTGTTCATCGATCCTCTCCCATTTAGGCCGCCGAAAACGTGCAATTTTGGGAGTTTTGCACCGCAAGAATACGTGGGCTAGATTGTCCCGTAAGTTACTCACGAGCAACTTACGGGAAATTTGTCTGATCCTCCTCTTAAGCACACTATTTCTCTCGGGTCACCCTATTCTGGTGAACTGACTGTGACACTTGACTAGACATTCTTCTGACTGTTAAACTGACTATACTAAAGCACGGGAAGGTGGGCGGGATTAGGGTCACCCGAGGAAGTTCTTCTGAATGATTCATCTCAAGTCACCTGAGATGAATGGGGGTTTACTACGGGCCACTTTTTGATGAGTTGTGCAACATTTAGCAGTCGAAATTTTGCAATATACAGGTGCTGAACATTTTTGCTGAGGTATGCGTGTTATGAGTGACACACAGAACACGCCTAATGCTTTGAACGAACAGCTTACAAATATAATTACATTTGAATGCTTTGCCTCGGTTTCAATCTTTTACTTGAACTGATCATATAAATGGAATAATTGTATCATGTATTTATTACAGCACTTTTGCATAGTACAAGTTGGACGACAAGTGTTGAAATGTTGATAATTGAATGATCTCCAGCGATCTAGCCAAGCACTGAAACGATTATCATTGCTAATTCAATCAACTCACTTAGATATCTAATGAAAATAATGGGCGAATCAGTAAATAAGAATTCCTAGCAAAAACATAAATCATTACATCCTCCTCCTCCAAGTAATCCTCCTCCTCTATTTCCATATCCTAGAAAACGAAAAGCGGTTAATTTTGGTAGAGAGAAATCAAAGTGGTCCTATCACCTCCACCGAATCCACCTTGGTTGCCATACATACCCTGATTACCATATCCTCCACCATATCCTTGATTACCAAAACCTTGATTGCCGTATCCTCCGCCACCTAGTAAACCTGGAACATTAAGCTAATCCTCCACCAATCCTTGATTACCAAAACCTCCTTGATTGCCGTATCCTCCGCCACCAAGTAAGCCTGGAACATCAGGCTAATTAGCTAATACTTATTTGTAAGTGATGAACTCACCTCCGAGTTGACAATGAATGCTAACAACGACTACTAGAGCAAATATAATCAGTGAAGTAAACATTATGAAGATGTTCTGCCTGAGACTATGCAAGCTAAAACTTTTAGTGAAATTATGCAAGAGAAGATACTTTTCGCAGGGAATTATGGCAATGCAAAGTAGAATCTTCCGTACTATTGTTAGACATGATGCAAATAACTAGCCATCGGCTGTCGATACAAAACATGATCAAAATGAAAAACAAAGTGACAAAGCTAATCAACCGGATTTTTAAATGCAAAACACGTTCTCGTGCAACCTCTAAGTAACAATTTGCGCACTGGGCGTTGATTAATTGAATTGCAGTTTTTCCCTAAGATTTCAGGTTATTTTTGGCCTTTAGTCTGGAGAACTTTGATCAGTAGAAGAACCATTAAGGTTAGCAATTCGTACGATCTGGCGATTGGCCAGATGTTTATAAATCTCCTGAAAAGGTTTATAACTGTGAAGTCATTGGCTGGTTTTTGGCGAAGATTCTACAAAATTGCGCCGGACTAGAACGCCAAAGGGACTCCATACAACTTTTAACTTTGAGCCTGCTCTCATTTTTCAACCCGCAATAAGCTGAACTAAAAGTGAGTAAAAGTTTGTGGAAGTACTGAGAGCCTTCCAGAAACTCTTTTGAAACTGTTATTGACGAAAAGTTTTAGGTGGGTTCAGTTGAAAAAAGGCAGAGTGTCTCGTCAGAGTGAGGCATTACTAGTGCCAGGTCTGATACATTTCCTAATTTTCCTTTTTTCCCCGTTTCGGAATTCACGGCAAGTCTGAGGCAATAAAATTAATTGAGGACTTAACATGGTATTATATTAAAATAGAAGACTTTAAATACTTTATTCCACGTGCTTCAAATGTGCTAATTAAATGGTTGTGTTTCAAAGCTTCTAGAAATATTAGGCTGTAACATAAGTCTTGAAACACTCTGAGTTATGGCGATATGTCATGCAATTCACAATTTCAATGGGGATCCAGGGCACCATTCGATAGAAAAAAGCAAGCTCTACAAGATGGTCCGCAAAAGTTCGTCCCATCTTCGACCCATCTTAAGTTTTCATCCAAAATGTGATTCGCTCTGAAGGCTCAAATCGCGAAAAATTCGTACCTTCGTCCAATGAAAATCCTACGAAACTCCAACTTGCTCATAGAAATTTCGCGTTACGTTGGACACTCATACGTACCGTACCTGTATGTTCTCCTCATTTACAAATCGAGAAAACAAAAATTTTCAAGTTTTTACAAAAACGAAGCTAAGATGTTTCCATTCATGTAATTGTATACTAAAATCCCTTAGAAGTATAACCGTAAATTTTCAGCTTACATGCCCTAGTTTCGAAAATTACCGAATTAGTTCTCCTCACTTGGGTGTTCCCTGCTAAAATCAATATTTCTTAACCAAGACTTGAGGAACGCTAAAAATTTGTGGTTATACTTCTAGGATTGTAGTATACAACTAAATGAAAGGGGACAGCGTAGCTTCGTTTGTGTGAAAATATAAACATTTCCGTTTTCTTGATTTCTAAATGAAATGAACATACAGTAACGGTACGTATGACTGTTCAATATAACGTGTTATTTGAGCAAGTTGGAGATTCGTAGGATTTCATTGAACGAAGATATGAATTTTGGCGATTTTCTAAGCCTTCAGCGAGAGCATTTTCTATAAAAACTTAAAGTAGGTCGAAGCCGGTGCAAACTTTTGCATACCTTCTTGTAGGGCATGCTTTCCTTATTGAATGTTGCCCTTTATCCCCACTAAAATTGTGAATTGCATGACTTATCGCCACAAGAAGTTAGAGTGTCTCAAGACTTATGTTACATCCTAATAGAAAGCCTTTATCATCGCCTTACCTTTTGTACACATAGTATTACAAAATGGGTGTAAAAACCTAGATTCTAAAGTAGTCGATCAAGTGGCTAATACCTATTTAACTGCAAGAACGGATTCTTTCCCTAAACAAGAAATTGGTATTTTAGTTTTTTCTTTATACCTTAGAAACAGAGAAGTAAAATACGTCTAGAACATCCAATATTAAAAGAGTTTTACAAAGACAATTTCTTTTTTGAGTTCTTCGACCAAATTCCTCTTAGGCTTATGGACGATGTCGTATCTAAGTGCTGGTTATAACATTTGAAATTCTATCACTGCTGCTTTTCCTAAACCGGAGAAGACGACGAGTTTTTAGATCCTCAAAAGGGCTCAGAACACTATTTTTCGGGATAGCCACTCTCAGTAAGGTTGTTACAAATCAAATTTAACTACCTTTCAGTAATTTGAAAGTACCGCTTTTTTCAAACCTGGGCATGACTCGTATGGTAGAAGTGCTTCTGTGCCAAACATTTTTGTTAAGTGTTCTTTATTTCCAATGGCGACCTAACGTTTCGGCGACTTTCATCTTCCTCAGAGCCCTACAAACACCGCTATTTGGTGTCCCACACCTGAAGTGATGGTCTCGACGGATGGAATCATGTTTGCCACAGAAGCTCTTCTATTATATAAGTACCCTTCCGCATAGAGCATTCGCAGTTTTTTGGCCAAGTTTTATCTTATCAAAATAAATATTTCTCGAAACTACCGTGTAAATGCGCGTAAGCGCAACGCATATTGTTGAATATGATATTTATGATTGCGTAGTGTGTTAAGGTACTGCGACGGTCAACACACAATTTTGTGGTAAATCTTATATATAAAGCTGAATGTCTGTTTGTATGTCTGTATGTCTGTCTGTATGTCTGTTTGTCTGTGTGTACGTATGTTCCACTTGATCGACTGCTTCTTACAAGGAAGAGTTCCCAAGTCAGCTCGGCCAACCCGGATGATTCGTATATCTCCGTAACGGGCTTGAAACGCTGATTCCAAAGCTGCTTTCCTTTTCTGCGGAGTCACTTTCCGAAAGAAGTTATGATCGTTTGAACTAAGTTTGGCATGTTTAAAGTGGCTTAAAATCAGTTTAAAGCTGTAAAACAACACCTAACGGAATTTCGCTATTCGTGTTCCGTCTTTGTAATCAATATACTTGAAACAAAACCCATAAGTCACTTTCGTATGTTATTGTAAAGGTTTCGCTAATTTTAGGCCACCTAAAACATGACAAATTTGGACTTTCCAATGCTCATAATTTCTCTCGGAGAGTTGTTCCGCAAAAAGGAAAAGCAGCTTTGGAATCAGCGTTTCAAGCACGTTACGATGATATATGATTCATCCGGGTTGGCCGAGCTGACTTGGGAACTTTCTCGTTAGAATCTGGGTTTCTACAACCATTTTGATACTATGTGTACAAAAGGTAAAGCGATAATAAAGACTTTCTATTGGGTTGTAAAATAAGTCTTGAGACACTCTAAATTCTTATGGCGATAACTCATGCAATTCACAATTCCAGTGGGGATGAAGGGCAACATTCAATAAGGAATGCATGCCCTACAAGATAGTATGCAAAAGTTTGCACCAGCTTCGACCTACTTTAAGTTATTATAGAAATTGCTAGTCGCACTGAAGACTCAGAAAATCGCGAAAAATTCATATCTTCGTTCAATGAAATCCTACGAATCCCCAACTTGCTCATATAACACGTTATATTGAACAGTCATACGTACCGTTACTGTATGTTCATTTCATTTAGAAGTCAAGCAAACGGAAATTTTTAAATTTTCACAGAAACGAAGCTACGCTGTCCCCTTTCATTTAGTTGTATACTACAATCCTAGAAGTATAACTGTAAATTTTCAGCGTTTCATAAGTCTTGGTTGAGAAATATTGATTTTAGCAAAAAAAATAACCCATTCGCAACTGACAAGCAACGATATGGCGCACGCTCGGCGTGTATTCGCACAAGTTGGCCAAGACTAGGGAAATATGAATGAATAAATATCTAGAAGTCCGTGCTTAGGGAAGCCTCCGGAGTCAAAGTCTTTTTTATCAGATACATAGCACAATAGCTGCCTTGAGAAACGGTATCCAATTCTGCTTTGCAAAATTGTCAGACGGTTTACTGAACTTCACAGACATTTGTCTAGGCAAAAGTTTGCACTGCGTTTGGGGGATTACTGCAGAGCTGAGCAAAACCGAGTAGTTTTTGAGCCCATTCTGCGCCCCCTTTATAACTGAGCAGTGCTTTCGAGAGAGTTAAAGAACTTTAAAGACATCTTGAGCATTTGCTGCGAATTCACTCATCCAGAATCGACAATGCAGCCCGAAAGTAGTTGTGGCATTTCGGTGGGCCATAAGCAAGTCTTTGAAGGAGAAGCCAAGGCTAGCCCGCTAGATACATACGACGCTACTTAGCCGACTACCTTGTCTTAGCGCGCAACAAACTAAATCACTTACTAATTATTCGCCCAAATAACACAAAGAATTACTACTTGAACTAAAGAAAATGCACTAGCTCAATAAAGTACCAAACAAACAAAAAGCTCAAACACGAGAGGAGCAGCCCCATCCAGTGCTAGTGATGGTATCTACTATAAACACATAATGCTCCTGAGGCTTCACTAACAGATTCGTCGCCGATTGGAGAGACGGGACTACAGCCTCTCCGCTTCCAAGATTCACCTTGATCTTACTACAGATTCTAAAAGCTTTTAAAGTTAGCTTGGCTCAAATCAGTCCAAAATCCTATCTAGGCTCCAACTCGAATTCAATCTTTTCGCTCGGCCGTTATGAAAAAGATACCCAAGATGGGAGCTTGACTGCCACTCAAGCGCAAATGATAACACAGGAAAAGGTACTAATTGAGAATGATCAAACAGGCATCGAAATGAGGCGCTGCCGGTACATAAAGCCGTTCGAGTTGCAACGCGCCAAGGGTAGGACAGATATGGAGGCGATCACGGCGATGCATTTGAATCTACTGTAGTTGTAGACGGCGTACGCGGCAACTAGTGCTCCGGCCCTCGTACTTACAAGAGCGCTCGCCTCGCGGAACCGTAGAGAGTACCATCTCCAACTTTGTTCCAGCCATTTTAGCGGATGTGAGAGACTTTTCATCATCAGCATACAATAAACTCTTGATTGATACACAACTTGTTCGGAA